TATATATATATATATACTCTTATGTATTTTTCTTAGTTCTAGAGACTGCACATTTTCTCCATTTCTATAATCTGATTGAGGAAAACAAGATAAATGTTGTTTCACTATCGTTTTCAATTTTCTCTAAACGTACATAATTAAAATTCTCACTTGCAATGTAAATGTGAGTTTTACTATATACTTTTATAAAGGAAATCGTGAAGCTCTTATAAAATATAACTGTTTTTATTTTTGCTTTTACGTCAGAATTATTAAAGTGAGATTACCAGTAATTTCTTGTTTGACATTATAATTCAGATATAATTCAAATATAATTTGACAGTAATTCAGGACATGTTTACTATTATAGGCAGAAGCTTATTATGTTCTCTAAAATTAATAGTAAACGTGTCACAATGTAAAGTTACAAACGTTAGAGTGTATGTAGGACCTGATCTGACTTAAGTGTTCATGAGATAGAATTTTTGGATTCGGTGTTTTTTTTGTTTGTTTGTTTTTGAATTTCGCGCAAAGCTACACGAGGGCTATCTGCGCTAGCCGTCCCTAGTTTAGCAGTGTAAGACTAGAGGGAAGGCAGCTAGTCATCACCACCCACCGCCAACTCTTGGGCTACTCTTTTACCACTGAATAGTGGGATTGGCCGTCACATTATAACGCCCCCACGGCTGAAAGGGCGAACATGTTTGGTGTGACGGGGATTCGAACTCGCGACCCTCAGATTACGAGTCGAGTGCCTTAACCACCTGGCCATGCCAGGCCCGGTGTTTTTTAACGTTAATTTGTTTTTCTAAATCTCTATCTAAATTCTCTGCTTTCAAATAAAAACGTAATAAAGTTAAAACATTACAAAACGTGTAACGAAATTAAGTTGGTGAATATTATAACAACTTTAACATACTGCTGCTTGTTTAGTTTAAAATAAACTAATAATACTTATATAATTTACTCGCTTCCATTATGTGATTGTCAAAATCTCAATAATAGAAACTCTAAAACAAAAATTCGAGATCAGGACATCTATTATTAAGAATTATAATTAAACATTTGAATATAAATTGTGACACAAGTGGAATTTTTGTGAAATAAATTATACTAAATTTCGAAGATTGAGAGTTAATTTTTTCTTTGAAATCATTGTTACGGCGCTCGACTCGCAATCTACGGCTCACGGGTTCGAATCCCCATCACACCAAACATGCTCGCCCTTTTAGCCGTGAGGGCGTTATAAAATGACGGTCAATCCCAATATTAGTTGGGATTCACAGCACAAATGAGCTTGTCATTTAATAATTTTAATTTCACTTACCAAGACACATTTCAATCGGTCACGTGACCTGGCCTGGCCAGGTGGTTAGGGCGCTCGACTCGCAATCTGTGGGTCACGGGTTCGAATTCCCGTCCCACCAAACATGCTCGCTCTTTCAGCCGTGGGGGCGTTAGTATGTGACGGTC